AAGGACGCATAGGCCGCAAGTGGATAGACTTGCCACAGGGACGCAACCCCCGCAAGTGGAAGTTTCGCCACCGTATCCAGCCCATGAACGGCGAGCAGGTCAAAAAGCAACCCCACAGAGGTGCCCGAACGACCCTGCCGCCGGGCAAGCACCCAAACGGGTCCAAACGAAACCCACACAGGTGCACACAAACCCCTGCCGACGGAAAAACGACCCAAACAGGTCAAAAAGCAACCCGACAGAGGTGTCCAACCAAACAGTTGAGACCCTGTACCCCGGAAACAGCTCCAAAAAAAACCGTGCCCATCCAAAAAAACCTGCCCAACCAAACGGTACTGTTTGACACCTTGTACCCCGGAAACAGTGCCAATTGAAACCCTACACCCCGGAAACAAATCTGAAAAAAAAAACATTCCCAACCAAACGGTACTATTTGAAACCCTGTAGCCCGGAAACAGATCAAAAAAAAAACCTGCCGGGTGCAAAAAAAAACAGTCCAAACATCACCCAGAGGAAATGTTTCACTATAACAAATTGAAAGATTATATTTTGAACTGGGATGGTGTAAATTTCCATCTGGTAATAGGGACATAGACAGATTTGAAGAAAACAACGAATTAGTTTCAATAAATGTTTTTGAACCTGATGACTGCTTAAATGATAATAAAATCATATTACATAGAGGAACTTAAAATAGAAATGCTAAATATGAAATAGATTTGTTAAAAGTCTATGATGAAGATAATCACTATCATTATGTATTAGTAAAAAATAAATCTAGATTATTAAACTGTCAGAGCAGTAGCAACACTAATAAAATGTTTTACTGCCACCATTGCTTAAATCCGTTTCAATCAGAAAAGGCATACAAGAACCATCTTGAAAAAGGATGTATGGCATCAGAAGGACAACAAACAACGATGCCTAATAAAGACACTTATATAGAATTTGAAAAGCATAATACTAAATTGCCTTGTCCTTTTGTAATCTATGGTGGTTTTGAATGTCTAACCACTAACTCTAATACTGGCATAAAAGGCACATATCAGGAACATAAACCGTGCGGTTATATGTTGAATGTAGTAAGCAGGATTGATAATACATGCCAACCATACTTATACAGAGGTGAGGATTGTATGAAACAGTTTGTAGAAAAACTGACTGAAATTAAGAAAGATATATTTGAAAAAATGAATATGATTAAACCAATGGATGACTTAACAAACGAACAAAAATTAGAGTTTAGATTAGCATCTAATTGCTCCATTTGTGGTAAGAAATTTGAACCTGATGATGAAAAAGTTAGAGACCACTGCCACTTCACAGGCGAATACAGAGGCGCAGCGCATGTAAAATGTAATCTGGATTATTCATTC